ACTACAAAGGATCTAACACTTACTGTGCACCGGAAGCTTTGCCTCACATTCAGGGTTGTAACCCTCACAGCAGGCCTGAAAAGGAAACATCATTGCTTTCCTTGACAAGATTAGGAAACATCCTTGAAGTTAAATACTGTTTAAGTGAGGGCTCATAGTTAGCAAACAGCATTCCACCATTCCTCAGGGCCTCTCCCTCACCTGTCTCCCCATTTTCTGTTCTTCTCCTCCACCCCCAGGGCTACATGGAACAAGATGTATACAATATCCTGCTGCGAATCCTCAGCAGGCAGGAGAAGAGGGGCAGCGCGGGCCCTGAGGGGTCCGGGATTCCTCTCCTGTGAGTTGTGGGTGAGGCCGATGGGGCAGGAGCTTGGAGAAAGGACCGGGGAAAGGAGGCTCAGGATGGGAACTGGAGTCTCCGTTTGCTCCAGGTGGTGGCTGACACGGGCGAGTCCTGTGCCCCTGAGCATCTGAAGTGAGGCTCACTGAGAAGTCCCAATAATGGCATCACTGGGTGGAGTCAGGAATCTGTGCCCGAAGGGCTGACCTGGGATGGAGACAGAAGGGGAGTTTCCTCTTTCACGGTCTGGGGCAGAGATGCCAGTAAAGGATGAGTGATGGTGGGAGAGTGGTACACAGTTGTTTCCTAGGGGAGGACTCTACAAACCACAGAATCTCTCCTTCGTCCCCACACCATGCATTCAAGGAATGGTCTTCTCTCACACTGCTCCCCACCCCTATGCCGGCGGCCATCTTCCCCAGCCCAGAGCGAGGAGGATCCCCTTTGGCATCCTGGCATGGGCAGGAGGAGCCTGAGGATATGGAAGTGTGTGCATGTCATCCTTGACTTTCTTCTTGCAGGGAGTAAGAGCACCCCTGGCTGCCAGAGGCTCCATCAGGCTGTAGTGGGTGGGAGGTTGGCCATTAGGGATAGTGTGGGTGAGCTTTGCCTGACATGAGGGAGCCCAGACCTGAGAATCGGAACCCTGGAATCAGCATGGATGAAACCAGAGGACGTACGGATGGAAGCCAGCTCTGTAACAAATAAAGCAGGGGCAATACGATACTGGGTGTCATTGTTTTTCTGGTTAAGGTGGGGGCAGGAATCTTTTCCATCATAAATGGCTCCATAAGCCAGCAGCTTTTAAACTTTATGGTCCACAGTTAGAAATACATTTTACATCCTGTGTGGACATACCGGAAATAGTATGTCTCCTTACTATTTCTGTTCTAGCCTATTCTCTGCTATTATTCTCCACTGAAAAAATACTGGTCAAAATACATCCATGAATGGGTCAAGACTCAGTGTGAAAAGCAGCCCTCTGTGGAAATGGGGATGGACACCCTTCGTCTTCCACAAATCCGTCTCGGACTGACCAACGGCTCTAATCGCGTTCTGCCTCGGGACTCCCGAGTCCACTGTTTGAGGAGGAGACTTTGGGAGGCGTGGATTTTCTGAGATGTATAATCTAAAATACTCTCTCCTGTGCTGCACCATGGGTTTAGGTTGGAAGCACATGGTCTCATGTGGTCAGTGTTCTTTGCCCCGGGAGCAAAGAGGGATGAAAAGTCTGATTCCAGGGAGAGGGAAGAAGGGACACTCAGAGAGGGATGAAGGGACACTGCTTCTTCACTGAGGTTCTGTTCTCAGACTGAAAAAAATGCCTCTCTCTTGGCCACTTCCCATGGTCTCCTCTCCTTCCTGTTTGTCCAGTAGCCAAATTGCTAGGTGAGAATGAGGCAGCGAAGCCCTCCAAAATCTGGAATTTTGGCTTGGTGCCCCCCACAAGGATCCCTCTCCATTCCTTTTCTCAGCCTGCCCCTGCTGGAGTATGTGGGGGTGGGGTGGGGTGTCAGCCTACAGTGGTTTGGCAGTAAGGAGACTGAGAGAGGAGTTGAGAGAGGAGTGGGGAGGGGCTGCCATGGAAGACGGGGCCCACACAGGGCTGCACTGTCCGGCTGCAGGTTTGGCCAGGAAAAGAGCAGTGTAGGTCAGGCCCTAGAGAAGATGCGGGTCAGCTGTGGGGTTCGTGTGGCTGGGCTCAGGACTGCTTTAGGCTGGGAGAATGGAGGCAAGAAGGACTGATGTAGAAAGGGAAAAGGAGGGCAGCTGCCAAGAGGAAGAGCATGAAAAAGGTCCAAATCATTTCTATGAGGGGAACCTCCTTCCTGCTCTCAGAGAACAGAAAAGAACTATTACGTATCTTATGACACAAGGGGTGTGGGTGGAAAAAATGAAACTGCAGAGAGAAGGGTCCAGAGAGGGGGAAATCATTTGACTAAGTTGAAGGATGAGTCAGGAAACTGCTTTGGTAATGGCAGCCAGACCTTCGGCTCCCTCTGGGGCTCCTAGAAGCTTATCCCAGGATGGCTGAGTTATAAGAATGGTCATAATGTGTGTGTGTGTGTGTGTGTGTGTTTCAATATATTTTATTGATTTTTTACAGAGAGGAAGGGAGAGGGATAATTAGAAACATCAATCAGCTGCCTCCTGCACACTCCCTACTCCACAACCAAGGTACATGCCCTTGACCAGAATCGAACCTGGGACCTTTCAGTCCACAGGCCGACACTCTATCCACTGAGCCAGACCGGTTAGGGCCATAATGTTAACACAAAAGTGGAACTTTCCCCAGTCTCTGGTCTTCCCAATAACCCTACATCCCCATGAACTGCTACCCCAAAAACCCAGGCCCTAAAACTCTTGATTTCATAAATAAATCTTTCTCAAAGTAACTGTAGTCCTACTGTTCCTCCTTCTTGGGCCCTCCATTTAAGGGGCTTTCTGTAGGGGCTTATACTCTTCTTTCACTTCCCCTCGCCCCCCAATTTTCTGATGTAGGAGTTTATGGGTGAAGCGTGGTAGGCCATGATGGGGCCCGGATGTCTTTGAATACCCTCAGTATGGAACTTGGTCCTGACTTGCAGTTTCCCTGCTTTGTCTGGTAGCATTAATTTATTATACTGATAGTTAGAGTCTACTACCTACCGGGCACTGAAGGCGGAGAGTGAAAGCACCAAAAAGTTCTTGTGCCCATGGAGCTGGCATGTAGGATCAGATTCAGGTGCCCTGGGTCCTAGTTTTCTAGTGTCCTGTAAGGATGCTAGGGCTTATAACCCCAAAAAACTATTAAAGGAGATCCCTCCTTCATGAAATCACCAGGAATGAAGGTGAGGTTAACTTTTTTCTTTTATATTTTTACAGCTTTAACAAGGTATAATTGACATACAATAATTGCATGTACTCACAGTGTACAATTTGATAAGTTTTGACATATGTATATACCCATGAAATCATCACACAATCAAGGTAATGATTGTGGAACTCCCAAAGAGTTCCCCTGTCTCTTTTAAAATCCTCACCCGAGGATGTTTTCCATTGATTTTGGAGAAAGGGAGGGAGGGAGGGAGAGAGGAAAGGAGGGAGGGGCAACGTGAGAGAGCATGGACTGCCTCTGGACCTGTCTCTCTTTTTTTACTTCTCCCTATCCTTCTCCTTTTGAGATCAGTGAAAATTCTAGAAGATACAAATTAGTCCATAGTAAGTTTTGATCTAGAGGCATGAACAAAAAATGAGCTTATGGCCTGATGAAGACTCAAGTGTTGGAGTAGTTGGAATTAGGAACCAAATACTTGAATGTAGGTTTAGCTTGAAGTCCCACCATTCCTGGCAGCAAGGAAGCAAGGAAAGCCTGGCTGGCGTGGCTCAGTGGTTGAGCGTGGACCCATGATCCAGGAGGTCATGGTTCGATTCCTGGTCAGGGCATATGCCTGGGTGGTGGGCTTGATCCCCAGTAGGGGGTGTGCAGGAGGCAGTCGATCAATGATTCTCATCATTGATGTGTCTCTGTCTCTGTCTCTCCCTTCCTCTCTGAAATCTATCTATATATATATTAAAAGAAGGAAAGAACCCAAAATGTCAGATGAAAGTGGACATCTTCCCTAGGGACAAAATCCATGAAGTAGCTGGGCATGGTCCAGTCCAACAGGTACCTGGGACATCGGTAGGCTGGCATCTGCAGGCCTATGGTGGGGATGGGGTCTCGTGGGGAGGAGTACACTGAAGGCTTAAGCTAGATGAATATTCATATGTATTAAAGCACTTTTTGTATGCTGATTATAGGTTTAACTGTCTTGTCACTCACTGCTGCTACACTGCAAGGCTTTCAAGTCTCAGCACCTAACAATCTCTGAACAGCATTCAAATATTTGTCGACCAAAAACATTATCATTTAGATCCCAGCCAACTACCTCTAAGATGCCGTATTTGCGGCCAGTACCTGTTTGGGTGCTTTCATGAGACCTGCATGTGCGTGGTTAGCTCGGTGGGGAATGAAATGGGGAATCTGCCAAGTCCAAGGCTTTGGAAGAAGGAAAGCAAGCAGCTGAGAGAGACAAGAAGATGTCTTTTCTGGGAGGTAGGCAAACTTCCCCTCTTCCCCTTCAGCAACCCCGAAGGTGTGGGGTCTCGGGTGTCCTTGGGGCGGAGGGCAGGAGGCCACAGGTAGAGCGAGGGCTTAGGTGCGCTGTGGCTTCTAGCAGCCCAGGCTTTTCCTCCTGGGTCTCATCCAAGTGGGAACCTCTCCCTGCATCCGATCCCGGGTCCGCGGTTTCATGCCCGGCCCGCCCCCTCCCAGCGCCGGGGCCGGAGCAGAAACCCGAACGCCGAGGTCCGAGCCGGCCGCCCTGCAGA